CCCGTAACCGCTGCTGTTATCCCTCCAGCCCCAACCTGCATGCCTTTCGTGCACCAGCACATCTTCTCCAGGCGTCAGGGGGGCCCAGCCTCCCCGCCCATCCGACTCGCCACACACAACAGCGCAACTGAACTAAAAGTTCTACATAATATCTGGACAAGACGAAGACGGACAGACGAGAAGACTGGACACGACGAGGCAAACTGATAACTAAAGAAAAGGACAAACGTTGCGGCAGTATATAATGAGCATGCGCACGAAATAATGTTGCACGCGCGACGATGACGTAAGCGTTGCATGGTGTATACATGTACAGAAGACTGCACATGCAACCAAAACAATGCAACAAAGTCAAGACTAAACCACTACACAATAAAACTAAAGAACAACATAAATAAGCCATGAAAAGTCTTTCACTCTAGACCCGTTGCGCAACATACTCCCCGCCAAAGACCTTTTCAAGGCTCAAGGAGGCTGCAAACTGTACTACATTATAATCTATGCTGCACGCATAAATAATCTAAGACTCACAAACGGCAAAATAAATAATAACAAATGAACGATCAATAGAAAATACAAACGGAAGTCAGCTTCCGAACTGTCACCAGGCACCAGCAAATCAAGGCAATAAACTACAGTACATCCGACCTATCACCAGGCCAGGCACCAACACATCGAGTACAGATCAAACAAATCGAGCAAGTCAAAACTACAAACTTCTACAACAAATCAAAGCGGGAGCACCTTCTAAACTCCTTCACACTCATGGCGGGTTATTTGTTCACGATGCGTTTTCCTTCGCACCCTCCATGTCCTTCTTCTTGTCGTCGAGAACAGCGCCCCGCAGGGTTCCTCCACTGTGGACGACCGTACCGTGGGTTATTTGATTTCGATGCGTTTTCCTTCGCACCGTCCTTGTCGTCGGATTCAAGCAGCTCCCTCGGAGGTCACCCAATCCCAGGTACAAACTGCGGACAGCGGCGCAGCTCCCTCGTTGGTCACTCGTCCAGTCTGGCACGGTGCAAACTGCCTCCCAACGACGTAGACGTACAAATGGTTATTTGATTTCGATGCGTTTTCCTTCGCACCGTCCTTGTCGTCGGACTCAAGCAGCTCCCTCGGAGGTCACACAATCCGCAGCTCCCTCGTTGGTCACTCGTCCACGCATGCACGGTGCAAACTGCCTCCCAACGACGTAGACGTACTAATGGTTATTTGTTCTCGATGCGTTTTCCTTCGCACCGGAGTTCCTGCAAGTTCCTCGTCTTCCTGACAATCCTGGCGTGATCGCCAATTTCGTGCACCAGCACATCTTCTCCAGGCGTCAGGGGGGCCCAGCCTCCCCGCCCATCCGACTCGCCACACACAACAGCGCAACTGAACTAAAAGTTCTACATAATATCTGGACAAGACGAAGACGGACAGACGAGAAGACTGGACACGACGAGGCAAACTGATAACTAAAGAAAAGGACAAACGTTGCGGCAGTATATAATGAGCATGCGCACGAAATAATGTTGCACGCGCGACGATGACGTAAGCGTTGCATGGTGTATACATGTACAGAAGACTGCACATGCAACCAAAACAATGCAACAAAGTCAAGACTAAACCACTACACAATAAAACTAAAGAACAACATAAATAAGCCATGAAAAGTCTTTCACTCTAGACCCGTTGCGCAACAATGCCGCCTGCTAGCAATCCTGCTGCTAACGTTGCCTCTTCTGATCCGCAACCGCTCCGCCGCAGCCAACGCTCTCGCACTGCACCTAACCGCCTGGACATTGCCTCGCATTCCACTAAGTCATATGATTAGCTGTGTTAGTGCTGTGTTCTCTGCTGCGTGCGCAGTTCCTACTCGTTCTCGTACACTGTATTTGATATTTTTTCATTTAGTTGTTGAGATAAACCTGGCTAGACCACTGTTTTATCTCAGAAGGGGCGTGATGTGATATGATGCTCATGTCTTATCACGTGACTATTACGTCATATATTTTGCCTGTGTATTACGTCACAACCAGCATGCGCCATCTTGGACTAGTCGCCTGAAGTGCATGCTTGGCTTGACCTGGTTGTCTGTTCTTACCTGTCTTCTTCACACTTGTATCTAATTGTATTCTTCCAAACCTCAACCTGTGTCCTTGAGTATTTGTGCATGACTGTGAAGGTAGACATCACACTGGACGCATTTGCTCTGTTTGACTCCTTCACAATAAGTATGTGAATGCTGTTACATGTATCATGGTGTTCCGTCAAAATCTATTGCAGACTATCCTGTCAAGCATGTCCATCACCAGGAGAACAGATAAATCACCTCTCCTTCTAATGCTGCTATTGCTGCTGTTGAAACTACACAACCTCAATAAAGTCACGGAATGCTGGAAATGAAGTACCTGAACAGTCAAAACACTTTACTATATTAGTTGGCTATTGATATCACACGGAAACAATTTTTGGTGGCTCCAAACACACTGATCTTTCAAAATTGTAAAAAAAAGAACAATTCATTAACATGACTCCTGACTGTAAAATGGATTTCTACATGGTCAATATTGGTCTGATGGCCGTGAAACGAAGTGACAATACTCAACAAAGGCTAGACATCAATTTGCAACAAAAAAATCAATTTCACCAAAACAGCCCCGAAGGTCGATTTTCTCAGATATTGGGCCACATAGTGTTACCAAGCGGGTTTCGTATCGACGACCTATCGTACAAGAGGCAGGATCATGATCCAACTGTCTAACAGTGCTTTTACACACCTGATCGTGACGGAAATCACTATAATCCCATGACGTCTATAGACGTCATCCCGCGCATGGGGGGCATTTTCAATGACGTCTATAGACGTCATCAGCGTTCAATGGGTTAATCATGAGGCAGGCTTCTATACAAGAGAGGTGTATGTGTGAGTTGGGGGAAATATATCGCAAGAATGTGTGTAACAGAAGAATATTAGCTCACTCGACGTCGTTGGCCAGCTTCGCATTTTCAGAATAACGCTGCAATGTAGGGAGTCGTATTTGACTCCCTGCTGTATTCGGTGTACGGTGTAAGAATTAGAGTAAGGGTGTGTAGTCGGATGGCAAATGAAGTGTGTTCCTGAAGGTGGATAGTGTGTAGAGTACTAGCTGCTCATGATACATGGATAATAATAATAATAATAATACAAAGACAATATGCCTTGGTTCTGCAAGAGTGCTCAATGCCCGATTCAGGCAGAGCGGCGTACACAAAGGCACACAATGAAAACCTTGGCAAATTAATTCCGTTGTGACTCAGATTTTCATGGCTGAACCAATCATCAGACAACGATCATCTCATTGTGTGCCTTTGTGTAATAATAATAATAATAATAATAATCTTCACTAGTTTGAGGGAAAGAGACAAACGGGAAAAGTCTGAAGAAAAAATTGACTGTCACCACCAGGACTCAAACCAGGGACCCTCGCTTGTAGCTAGCGATGCTCTAACCGCTGAGCTATGGTGTAGTCGTCATCCCAGCAGAGACTGTTCAACAGTTTCTTCAGACTTCGTAACTCACACTTCCTGTGAATCCACACAGGCGGGTGGGACGCAGCCCTCACTGTACCCACACACTTCACGTACACTCTAGCATGCGGGGAGCCCCAAGTCATTAAATCTTCACTAGTTTGAGGGAAAGAGACAAACGGGAAAAGTCTGAAGAAAAAATTGACTGTCACCACCAGGACTCGAACCAGGGACCCTCGCTTGTAGCTAGCGATGCTCTAACCACTGAGCTATGGTGTAATAATAATAATAATAATAATAAATTCTGGGATCACCATACAGAGCATGCAGAAAGAGTGTAAATAATTATGTCGAAATGATATTGGAAAGCCAACGGGAATGGGAGAAGCAGTCAATAAGACCATTCCCGTCATACTGTGCCCTGGAACAAGCAGCTAGGGTAGTGCTAGTTTAGCAATTGACGGTGTGTGGATCAGGGTGGTGTGTGGATCAGGGTGGTGTGTGGATCAGGGTGGTGTGTGGATCAGGGTGGTGTGTGGATCAGGGTGGTGTGTGGATCAGGGTGGTGTGTGGATCAGGGTGGTGTGTGGATCAGGGTGGTGTGTGGATCAGGGTGGTGTGTGGATCAGGGTGGTGTGTGGATCAGGGTGGTGTGTGGATCAGGGTGGTGTGTGGATCAGGGTGGTGTGTGGATCAGGGTGGTGTGTGGATCAGGGTGGTGTGTGGATCAGGGTGGTGTGTGGATCAGGGTGGTGTGTGGATCAGGGTGGTGTGTGGATCAGGGTGGTGTGTGGATCAGGGTGGTGTGTGGATCAGGGTGGTGTGTGGATCAGGGTGGTGTGTGGATCAGGATGGTGTGTGGATCAGGGTGGTGTGTGGATCAGGGTGGTGTGTGGATCAGGGTGGTGTGTGTATCAGGGTGGTGTGTGGATCAGGGTGGTGTGTGGATCAGGGTGGTGTGTGGATCAGGGTGGTGTGTGGATCAGGGTGGTGTGTGGATCAGGGTGGTGTGTGTATCAGGGTGGTTCATGGATCAGGGTGGTGTGTGGATCAGGGTGGTGTATGTATCCAGGTGGTTTATGTATCTTGGTTTTGTGTGGATCAGGGCGGTGTGTGTATCAGGGTGGTTTATGGATCAGCATAGTGTGTGGATCAGGGTGGTGTGTGGATCAGGGTGGTGTGTGGATCAGGGTGGTGTGTGGATCAGGGCGGTGTGTGTATCAGGGTGGTGTGTGGATCAGGGCGGTGTGTGTATCAGGATGGTGTGTGGATCAGGGTGGTGTGTGGATCAGGATGGTGTGTGGATCAGGGTGGTGTGTGGATAAGGGTGGTGTATAGATCAGGGTGGTTTATGTATCAGGGTGGTTTATGGATCAGGTTGGTGTGTGGGTCAGGGTGGTGTGTGGCTAAGCAATAATCAGTTTTGCTTCACTTAACGCCTTGTATTGCCTGTTTTACCTTCTGCTTCTGCGCTGCTGCTGTATTTCCTTGAATCTGTTGCACAGGTGTTTGGAGTGACAAGTTTGAGTGTGGGCGTATGGCTGAGGCTGTTTGCCATGAAGGATGTGACAATCATCGTGTCAAACATCGATCTAACACTGCGTATCCTGCTGGGGATGGGGTTCTCCGTGGCCACATTAGCGCTTCTGGGATTTGCTACTATCTTATGGCAAAAGCGATTACTTGTCGTGATTGTAAGTATGCTTTGATGCTGTTCATGGCCAGCAATCGAGGACATCTGAGAGTTGTAATTTTTGTACTCCTCCGAGGTGTGATTTTTGGCGTGCTGGGCCAAGCACAAGGAAGCCATCTGCAAAAAAACTGCAGAAAATGGTTTTTGTTTGATCCTTTGGTGTAATCTTTGTTTCTAGTCGAAGCTAGTTGCTGTTTGGAGCAGAAACGCCTAAATTGACTATTTTCTGCATGTACTCATACATGTACTCATGTACTCAGTCATGCAGTCTCACTCGTATTTTAGCTCTTTTTCTGGAATGGATGCTGCTCTGCGCCCCTTGGTGAACATTTCCTGCGCTCGTGGAGCAGCTGAAAAGGACCACTGGTATGTCTGGTTCCTGGTTTGAAAGTGGAAAGTCGACTTTTGTGCCTTGAAAAAGGAGTAGAGAGCGATAAAGGTACGTCTGTGGCTTATTTTTGAGTGCTCCTCGTACATTTTTGATCGTGATAGAAATTCTCAGACCAAAGTCTGATGGCCGCACAGTTTTCTTGTGGATTTTTTAGTTGTTTCATCTCGTATCTATGTCAGTATCGTGATGGTGAAGTGGAGAGGGTGATTTTCTTCCTCTAGGCTTCGTTCGGCCGACTTTGCTTCGTCCTCGTTGAAAAGTGATCCTGAAAAAAAGGTCGATTCGCAAAATTATGTTGATTTTCAATGTACATGATGACATGCGATTGCTGGCTATGTTGCTGTCTAACGTTATCTACTGAGGAGTCTGTGGCTACACTAGGTCACATGTAGTATCTACTGAGGAGTCTGTGGCTACACTAGGTCACATGACTAGTATCTACTGAGGAGTCTGTGGCTACACTAGGTCACATGGTTATAATAGTATATACTGAGGAGTCTGACATGGTTATACACTACCTGATGAGAAAGCTATCTCGTCGGAGATTGTGCATATGCCCGCTGTGTGTTGTTTGTGCGCACGTGTTAAGACAATAATACAGGGGGGGGTAGGTATGCTGACCAGAAACCGTCACATGACTTTAATAGACAACTGTATGCTATGGACTGGTTGCTATGGACCAGGTTGCTATGGACTGGTTGCTATGGACTGTATGCTATGGACCAGGTTGCTATGGACTGTATGGTTACATATCTGTGTCTACTGTAAAACTGGAAAATTTCGGTGGAGATTTCTGGAGTCGATTTAGTCATTTTTCCAAGATTCCTTTTGAGTTTCTCTCCCCTCTCCTGGTGAGACCCACATGACCAGTTTTGGCAGTGAGCATGTACAGTGTGTGTGTGTGTGTGTACGCGTGTGTGTGTGTGTGTGCGTGTGTGTGTGTGTGTGTGTGTCTCTCTCTCTCTCTCTCTCTCTCTCTCTCTCTCTCTCTCTCTCTCTCTCTCTCTCTCTCTCTCTCTCTGTGTGTGTGTGTGTGCTGTTGTTTAGCACACTGTGGTGATGAGCCTGTCACTGATCCTGTCGCTATTCCTAGTCTACAAGTCTCTAGTACCAGTCGCTGTAAGTCTGGTGTTTAGAATGCTTCAGGCGTGTTGCTACTGACACAAGTTCTGTGTTGTTCAAGCTACAGGGTGTGTTGCTACTGTGCTCATCAAGCTACAGGGCGTGTTGCTACTGTGCTCATCAAGCTACAGGGCGTGTTGCTACTGTGCTCATCAAGCACAAAGTGTTCACTAGCGGGTGTGTGTGTGTATATGTGTGTATGTGTGTGTGTGTGTGTGTGTGTGTGTGTGTGTGTGTGTGTGTGTGTATGTGTGTGTGTGTGTGTATGTGTGCCCGTCATCGCTGCTCACGGACTTGTAGTCGTCCGACCGTTCAGGACCGTCAGGGTTTCACATATGTTTGCGCCTGCTCCCGCCGATTTCGCTTACCGCATCACTTGGATCGTCACGGGTCAATATAAATAATGTAATACAAACCGGTCTTGTCCTTTGCGTCCTGCGTCCCGGGGAACGGAATGGCTGAGATTCCGTTACATCCTCCTCTCTCTCAGCTGCCCCTCCGGGGCCACGTAGCCTTCATGGCAGTGGCTCAACAGGACAGGACAGGTGTATGTGTGTGTGTGTGTGTGTGTGTGTGTGTGTGTATATGTGTGTGTGTGTGTCCGATGACAGCAAGACTTGGCGGGGCACTAGAAGTCCTGCCAATGACGTGCCCTCCAAACTCTGGCCCCCTCCGGGGGTGACATTGCCCAATGGGCAGTCATGCTATAGTAGTAGTAGTAGTTGTGCGTGTGTGTGTGTGTATGTGTGTGTATGTGTGTGTCCGCGTGCGTGTGTGTGTGTGTGTGCCTGCGTGCGTGTGTATGTGTGTGTGGGGAGGGGGGGGGGGGATAGCCCTGATCCTGATGTCACCTCAATGGCAACTCAGCAGTCACTACGGATTAGGGACAGGACCATGGGTTCCAGGATGCCACCATTTAACACCACATACCAGCCCAGTATGATTATGACATTGAGCATCTGTGACCATCTCCCCACCATATGTGTTATACTGTTGTTTTGGGCATGTTAGCAGAGCAATCACTGCTCCCCCTTCATTCCTCTTGGAGGCAAACATGGAAGTTTACGTGGGAATGAACTGATCTAACACTATTATCACCAACCCTCAATGCTCTTAGCTCACGCCTGAGCTAGGCACCCTTGTCTCGTTACATGGGGCAATTCTCAGTCATCAGTCATCAGGGCAGTCATGAGTCATGAGTCATCAGTCATCAGGGCCGTCTTGTATTAAGCAGTCCAGTGACCTATCTACGGGATGCGGATGGAAACGTGCCGAGATGGAAATTCCGACACGTATTTTTCAGCACGTATCAGGCACGTATCAGCGTACATGCCAGTCACTTTGACTGGCGCCATGGTGGGGTAAAACAAATAGTACTCGAAGGCGTTGCACGCCCTAAATACGAGTCGAATTGCAGTTTTTTTTTGTGAAAGCCTGAGCGCGTGTTTGGGCACACATGAACCGCAAGCATACCGCGTCCACGCGCCAGTCGTGAACACAGCTTTAGCCTCGCCCAGATTCTTTGTAATTAAATAGAGACGTGTCTACCCTGGTTGTTACCGTTAGTTTGACTATTGTAGTATGGTACTTTGGAGTCTGTAGCTACACTAGGTCACATGACTAGTATGGTACTTTGGAGTCTGTAGCTACACTAGGTCACATGACTAGTATGGTACTTTTTAGGTGAGCTTCTGGTGTTTAAATAGTGCAGCTTATTCTCCAGAAAATACGGTAATATTTATTCTCCGGAAAATACGGTAATATTTATACGTTTCTGCTTGTAGTCACGACTGCTACAATTGCAGCTGGTAAACTATGTACATGTGAAAATGGGTTGGCCATCTTGTGTAGCTTTCCACAACGTGGTTCGCGGCTGTAGTTTTTATGGTGGGAGATCTGCGCCAAGCCAATGCTGGATTGTTCAATAGTAGACGCTCTGCAGAGCCTGGGAGCCATTGCCCATGACAGACCAGCATGGCGAGATCTATGCATGAGGGTCTGTGCATTGTGATATTCCGACAGATCCTGAAACAGTCAAACTCAGGAAATAGCACTATCATTATCACTCAGGCTGCAATATTCATAATTATAGACATAAATGACATATCTTCAATACCCATGAGCTACATTGTATATATTATGATATAAGTATCATAAGTATTACTATCATCGTTCTAGCTCATTTTTTCCCCTGTCATAGTCCTGTTTATCATGTTCAGCATAAGCGAAGTTGTGGATCATGCTTGCATGGTTGACTCCAACTCGTACATGCAAGTAATAATAATAATAATAATAATAATTTGAAACTCGGGTATTGAGCCAATAATAAAAGTAGAAAGGAAAAGGACATATAGTATCTAGTTACAGTGGTGGAGAGTTACTCTTAACTCGTTTCCATAATTATGTCCTTTTCCTTTCTACTACTAATAATAATAATAATAATAATAATAATAATAATAAACTATGTACAGTATCTTGTTTTAGTCTCTTGCGGATACAGTCTACTTGTAGTATATTTGTTAATACAGTCTAGTATACTTGTTAAAGGGGAAGTTAAGGCAAAAATTAAAATTTCACCAGTTGTAGTCTTCGGGGTGCTGAGTCGAATGGTCGTGGTCCGAGGAAGCTGAGACGCTCCCTTCCTCCTTGAATCCCAATCGAACTCGCGCACTTCCACCGAAACTGGGTGACTGCGCCCTACTAGATGGGGATTTGTATGCAAAATGTCACTAAAAGCGCCATTTTGCTCGTATAAAAGCACGGATGACCGCGATTGGCCCATATGTTGTAGCCTTTTGGACGCTGAGTCGACTGGTTTTGGTCCGAAAAGGCTGCGATGCAGCGTTCCTCCTTTATTCCCAATCGAACATGGTTGAACAAGCGGTCACGTGCTCCTGCGTACGCCAGTCACCTGGTCACCGTGCCTGCAGGGTACAACTTACTACTAGCCTGTTTGACCTTTTTTGGGTGCAGTCCTGTCACTCGAGTTGAACCTTGGTGTGAAAGTTGTCGCCTGCTGGCGTGGTGACCAGGTGATTTGGGCACCCAGGAGCACGTGACCGCTTGTTCAACCATGTTCGATTGGGAATAAAGGAGGAACGCTGCATCGCAGCCTTTTCGGACCAAAACCAGTCGACTCAGCGTCCAAAAGACTACAACATATGGGCCAATCGCGGTCATCCGTGCTTTTATAAGAACGAAATGGCGCTTTTAGTGACATTTTGCATACAAATCCCCATCTAGTAGGGCGCAGTCACCCAGTTTCGGTGGAAGTGCGCGAGTTCGATTGGGATTCAAGTAGGAAGGGAGCGTCTCAGCTTTCTCGGACCAATACCATTCGACTCAGCACCCCGAAGACTACAACTGGTGGAATTTTAATTTTTGCCTTAACTTCCCCTTTAATACAGTCTAGTATACTTGTTAGAACTTCAGAGTAGGCATGGATGGACATTCATTGTAAGAAACTGGGGGTAGACATGGATGGACATTCATTGTAAGAAACTGGGGGTAGACATGGATGGACATTCATTGTAAGAAACTGGGAGTGGAGATGGATGGATATTTGATCATTGTAAGAAACTGACAGTAGAGATGGATGGAGATTTGATCATTGTAAGAAGCTGACCAGTAGAGATGGATGGAAAATATGATCATTGTAAGCAGCTGACAGTAGACATGGATGGAGATTTGATCATTGTAAGCAGCTAAGAGTAGACATGGATGGAGATTTTCACTGAACCTTGCGTCTGTAATGTTCTATGTTATGTTTTTGTTTGTTCCCTTAGCAACACGGTGTGGAAACATACTACCTTGCTGCCATGGAAACGTACGACACTAAAGTTCATGTCCACAATGCCATTGATCATGTACAGAGTAATGTAAGTGTTGATATAGAATGAACTGTTGTGCTGCAGTGCTTTGTGTTATACATACTATACAGGACTATACAGGACTATATCAGTATCCATGTATCCATGTATCCATGTATCCATGTATCCATGTATCCATGTATCCATGTATCCATGTATCCATGTATCCATGTATCCATGTATCCATGTATCCATGTATCCATGTGGACATCAGGGAGCTTGGCACACAGGGAGATCATATCGATGTGCTGTGTGCTGATTATGTCAGCCTTGAAGGCTCCAGTGTTGGTTGGGTTTATGTTTATGGTCGGCATGCCACAGCCTTACTGATGGCCACGTGTTGCATAGGACATAGATCGCATACAGCTGTGTGCTTTGTGCTGCGCGCTGCTTGGTGTAATACTGTGTTTTGTGACACTGCTTGGTGTGAATTGTGTGTTGTGTTTTGTGACATGATGTGCTGTGACACTGTGCGGTGTGAAACTGTGCGGTGTGAAACTGTGCGGTGTGACACTGTGCGGTGTGACACTGTGCAGTGTGACACTGTGCAGTGTGACACTGTGCGGTGTGACACTGTGCGGTGTGACACTGTGCAGTGTGACACTGTGCGGTGTGACACTGTGCAGTGTGACACTGTGCGGTGTGACACTGTGCAGTGTGACACTGTGCGGTGTGAAACTGTGCGGTGTGAAACTGTGCGGTGTGACACTGTGCGGTGTGACACTGTGCGGTGTGACACTGTGCGGTGTGACACTGTGCGGTGTGACACTGTGCGGTGTGACACTGTGCGGTGTGATACTGTGCGGTGTGACACTGTGCGGTGTGACACTGTGCAGTGTGACACTGTGCGATGTGACACTGTGCGGTGTTACACTGTGCGGTGTTACACTGTGCGGTGTAACGCTGTGTGTTGTGACATGGTGTGCTGTGAAACTGTGCGGTGTGACACTGTGCAGTGTGACACTGTGCAGTGTGACACTGTGCAGTGTGACACTGTGCGGTGTGACACTGTGCAGTGTGACACTGTGCGGTGTGACACTGTGCAGTGTGACACTGTGCGGTGTGACACTGTGCGGTGTGACACTGTGCGGTGTGACACTGTGCGGTGTGACACTGTGCGGTGTGACACTGTGCAGTGTGACACTGTGCGGTGTGACACTGTGCGGTGTGACACTGTGCGGTGTGACACTGTGCGGTGTAACACTGTGCGGTGTGACACTGTGCAGTGTAACACTGTGCGGTGTGACACTGTGCAGTGTGACACTGTGCAGTGTGACACTGTGCGGTGTAACGCTGTGTGCTGTGACACTGTGCGGTGTAACACTGTGCGGTGTGACACTGTGCAGTGTAACACTGTGCGGTGTGACACTGTGCAGTGTGACACTGTGCAGTGTGACACTGTGCGGTGTAACGCTGTGTGCTGTGACATGGTGCGGTGTGACACTGTGCAGTGTGACACTGTGCGGTGTGACCCTGTGCAGTGTGACACTCTGCGGTGTGACACTGTGCGGTGTAACGCTGTGTGCTGTGACATGGTGCAGTGTAACACTGTGCGGTGTGACACTGTGCGGTGTGACACTGTGCAGTGTCACGCTGTGTGCTGTGACATGGTGCGGTGTGACACTGTGTAGTATGACACTCTGTGGTATGTCACTTTGTTGGCTGTGCATTCTTTGGACATTCTTCTGCGCACAAACAGTTTGAATGCTGTGGAGCTGTAAGTCCTAGCGACTGGGAGGATGTGTCCTCCAATTCCACACACCAGCTGGATGTGGAAGCATTTCCGGCAAGTTGTTGTGTGGAAACGTCTTCTATCATCAACAGTCACCCACCTAGGCACCGCTGTACTGCCACTGGAGGAACCAGTCATGCTGACAAACATGCTGACGATGGCACTCTGCATTATACAAAGGTAAGAATGATCAGTTTGTGATGTGATACACTTGATTCATTTCCATATTTCCTCCCCCCCCCCCCCCCTCCTGGATTCCTTCCCCTTATCCCCGACGAGTCTTTCCCCCTGATCCCTCTCCTGATTCCTCTCCTGATCCCTCTCCTGATTCCTCTCCTGATCCCTCTCCTGATTCCTCTCCTGATTCATCGCCTGATCCCTCCCCCCCCCCCCCCTCCCGATTCCTTTCCCGATACCCCCCCCCCCCCCCCGCCTGATTCCTTTCCCGATACCCTCCCCCCCCCCCCCGATTCCTTTCCCCGATACCCTTCCCCCCGATTCCTTTCCCCAATGCCCCCCCCCCCCCCCCCCGATTCCTTTCCCAGATACCCTTCCCCCCAATTCCTTTTGCAGATATATTCCCAGTAAGCCATGAACGGAGACCCCCTCGTCTTAGGCCTCGGCCTTTGGGGAATCCATAAACGAGAGAGCTTGGAAGCTCAGGGCCCTACGCTATGCTTTTTTGCCTTGATGACCTAGACAAAAAAAGCATAGGGATGTTATAAATTCTTTAAAAAATTCCTTTTTTTTAAGACATAACCTGGGATTCGAACCCACACTATCGTGCCCTGCATGCATCCCCCGATACACTTCGCATACATACTAATTCTTCCAAGTTGCTTCACATTATGATCTTGCTTTTGAAAGCCCTATTTGAATATGCATTGTGGGCAGCCGTCTTTGATGGTACGGTACGGTAGGGATAGGTACGGGACAGGTACGATCGAGGGTAATACGACACCGTCTCCCGTACCGTACCATCAAACACAGCTGGCCACATACAGCTGCCCGCAATATTCAAATAGGGCTTTCAAATGCAAGATCATAACGTGAAGCAACTTGGAAGAATGGGTATGAATGCGAAGTGTATGGGGGAATGCATGTAGGGCGATAGTGCGGGTTCGAATCCCAGGATATGCCTGAAAAAAAAAATAGGAGAATTGAAAAATTTATAACATCCCTATGATTTTTTGCCGTCAGACACGGGATAGCGCCAGGCGTGACACAAACACACAAATACCAAATTAAAGCTGTGTGGACCCTGGCTAGCGCCAGACGTTTTCCGGGTAAACCTGGCCTGGTAGCTTTCTAAATCGAGCGAAAACCACAGCGAAATCGGCTGCTGAGAATTTGAAAATTCAAATTTCCTTGCCGATCCAGCCCAATCGAGACTTTTGGCTGCCATCTTGTTAAATGTCCAAATTTCGCGAAAAAAACAGCCGTGAGTGTGCAACTGGCGGATGGGTTCGCCCATGGCGGAATTTTTTGTTGACGTAATCTTTTCTATGATGCATGCGCTGTGAGTCTTTTGGGAAGTTTTGCCCCGTGCACTTGGCCGGGCTATACATTGTAAGGTCAGTGCCTAGCACGTGCTCTTACACTGCTCTGCGGCAAAATGCACGTTTTCTGAAAAAAGGCCGGTGACGTCCATAACAAATTCCGCCGTGGGTGAGCGTATCTGCAGATTGTGCAGGGGAGATCCGGAGTTTCACACTTTTGTTTATCTACTCTTGCTATTAGTATACCTATGCCATTGCAGTTGTGTAGAGTCCGGTGACGGTGACGGTGAGCCTTGCTAGTGTAGACTTCCTCATCATTTCCATTAAAATTTGTTTTTAGAAATGTGAACTATGTGCAATCTATGGAATATCGTGAATTTGTTTAAAATGTGACATATGTGTGATTTGCTGAATTTGAATTTGTTTGCTTTCTGCAGGGCTGCTCCAGCCAGCTACGGCATTACATCAAGCGATATTTTATTTTGATTTCGTTCCAAGCCCTTCTGATCAGTGTTTGCTTGGTAAGTTGAAATAATGTGACCTTCACTCATGTGACCTTCACTCATGTGACCTTCACTCATGTGACCTCCACCACCCCCCACCCCCCCCCCCCCCCACACACACACACACAATCATGTGACCTCCACCCCCCCTCCCCTCCCCCCCCCCCCCCCACACACACACAATCATGTGCCCCCCCCACACACACACACAATCATGTGCCCCCCCCCCACACACACAATCACAGTGTGACCTCCATCCCCCCCCCCCCACACACAATCATGTGACCTCCCCCCCCCCCACAGGCCCACACACACACAATCATGTGACCCCACACACACACAATCATGTGACCTCCCCCCCCCCCCCCCCACACACACACAATTGCAATCATGTGACCTCCCCCCCCCCCCCCCCCCCACACACACATCGTACATGCACATGTACAATGTACTAGTATAGGTGAAGTGTAGCGTAGTAGTCTGCAGGATGCACGGCCATACTGACCAACCACCAAAATCTCAATCCCTTGACAAGACATGCAGAATCCCTGGATGGCACGAAAAATCCCTGGATGGCACGAAAACAACTTTAAACAAGTGAAAAAGAACTTTTCCCGCCAAAAAAACGTTCGACTCTGCAGATCTGGGTACAGCAGAGTTCAACCCTCCAGTGCAGTTCAATCAGTCGGCGCCCGCCTGTCAGTGCAGATCTTGCAGGCTAGGCCAGTCAGATCTTGAAAGTGCCGTGCAGAGTTCAAAGTGCGAGTGGGCACCGTACATATTTTTGAAAAAACCTGGACATTCGCAGGCGCGTACGCAGGGGGGTTTCCCGTTGCCCGGAAACCCCCAAATGTTCCAAACGAGCAACATTTTTGTGCATTTTTGGTTGGGAGGGCGCGCGATTGATCTGACAAAAATGAAAACTTCAACAGGTCATAACTCAGTCAAATCTCGCTCAATTCCAACGATCCAAATATCCAGGTCAAATAGAAACCTCTTAGCTGTCGGTAGAAACAATTCGCGAAGCACTGCGAGCAATGTTTCTTGGGATATATCATTTGTAAGTTGAGCCGCGATCTCGGCAATTTCCAAAGCGCGCAGTGCGACTTGAGTATCGAGAATTTGAGACTGTTTGTCACATCGACTTGCTCAAGTTTGCAGGGGCTTCACTTGTGATATTCTCAAGAGTATACAGCTAAACAATCGAAACTCTGCGATCGAGAAAAACGAAATCGCTGGAGCAGGAGCCGTTTGGGCCTTTGTTTGGGGCATTTTTCGCACCGTTGCTGCACTCTACCGCTGGTACAGTGCAGGAGCGTAGCAGCAGGTCCGGCCAGTCCGGCTGTGGCCTGACCAATGCCAAAAGTGCCCAGAATGCAGGATTTTGCTCCCTAATTTCCAATTTTTCCCGGGGGATACCCCCCGACCCCCATGGCCATGCACCCGGACCACCTCCAACGGCGGTGCTACGCGCCTGCAGTGTCCTGGCTATCATGGTCGACCTCATTCTCTTCTCTCGTGGACGTGGATACCATTCCACTTCCAGGAAGATTGAGCGGGTAGAACTGATGAATATGAATATGATCCAAGGAACGCGAACAATGCAATATTTATGCTTCGGTTGGAAACCCCCCTAGAGGTGACCCTGCGTACGCGCCTGATTCGAGGCGAATACATGGAATATTCAGGAAAATCCAGTATCAGACACAACTGTGACTTTTCCGGGAGTTTGCTTGAAATCCCCGGGACCCCGGGAGTAGTGTTGATTTCCCGGGATTTTCCCTGGGAAAATCGGGAGTGTTGGTCAGTATGCACGGCATGGTCATAGCATACCCCGATATTGCCATTACTCCAAACTCACTCTCTTGTCTGTTGGTGTGTCACGTCCTGAACACGTGTGTGTCTTCTCTATACTCTAGCATAGGGACTAGACTGTGAACTTGTGTTTTGTGTTTGAACTTTTAACCCTTTACCGGCAGCCCCATACTTGAATGCGTCAACGTTGACGCATTCGACATGCATACAAAACCATGCCTGGCATGACGGGAAGCATCAGCCCACGGGGATTTCCCGTGGCCCTCACACAGCCAAGGTATGATCCTATCGGTAGCTGAAGAGATCCACGCGTGTCCCATTTGATTTCATTGAGAACTGCGCGATCGAAAACTTACGGAAATACACGCGCGCCGACAATGCCGTCCGCCTCCGTCAAAACATCGTCAGGTGCATTTTCTCTTGCGCAGTGAGTTCCTATCGTATTCGGATGACTTCTCCGACGAGGACCTAGCAGTCATTCGCTCTGTGACCGACGACAGATAGATAAATACTTCGTTCCAGCCGCCGATGCAAGAAAATTTCAAATTACGGAGCGAGGCGCACGCCAAGTAAATTCTCACGCAAATATGGGGAGCGCCAGCCGCTGAAGACGATGTCGTCGTGATGTACCTGGAAGAAGCTGATGGTGCTTATGGTAGGGAAGCCATGGAGAGCGATCCCCGTGTCGACAGTCTCCCAGAGACGGAATTTAGGCCATCGACTTTCTACGTACCTGAGTGACGGCAGCGCAGCGCGGCGTGCGTGCGACCGTACGTGCGTGCGTGCGACCAGCGATTCTGGGACGATACTGCTCTCTTTTGCGAGCGAGGCATGGCCACTGAAGTTTGTGATGGCTATGGCGTTTGTTTCCGCTCCGAAGTCGACTTGTTTTGACAGTATCATGTCAATGTCGGAACTCTGACGATTCGCATGTGTACAATTTCTGTGTTTAGACGTAGAGGTGCCAATTTAGCAGCGTATGAGTGTGGTATGAGAGAATAAATGTTTCCATGGTCAAGAAGTAGTACTAGACTTCCAATAAAACATAACTTGCACATACAAAATGTGGCCTCGTTGTGAGTTTTTGGCATCCTTCTAAATGTTATGGATTTCACATACAAAAGTAACTTGCCAGTAAAGGGTTAACTATCATTCAGTAGAGGAGAAAATTAAAGCTTGTTGTTAACCATTTCACTGCCGCTGTCGACTAGAGTCAACAGCGCATTCATGCACTCTGAGTGCCATTGTCGACTTGCGTCGACGAGTAAACATGCAGTCCCCAGTGCTGTTGTCGACTTCCGTCGACAGGCAGACCTCACCCAGTTTGTGCCTCTATTTTCGAATATTGGAGATGTTTAGCCGTGGTAGAGGGCCACTAGGCCCTAGAAGAGGTCCATACCCATCGAAATACGCTGCCAGTAGTATGGGTTGCCATTTGAATCGAACCAGCGTCGTTGAAAATGCGCATCCAATTTTTAGCCGAGCGACGAGGAAGAAATCGGTTCTCACGCACTTCCACCTTGCAGAGTCGGTGCGAGTATTTTCCTCTTTCCCGTCAACTTTCATTGCACGGAGCATGGAATTTGGTTCAGACTTGATGCCTAGCTACTTGGTCCGGCTCATCGCAATTGTCGCTTATCTATCGCCACTAAGAACAGGCGTTTTGTTGCCGCTCTGTGAAATTTTCAATAGGCATAGTGAGGAAGCATGACACATGAATACTCTCCGCGACAAGAAAAAAAATTCAGCCATGGAATCAGGTGAAGCGAGTCATAGAAGGAAAGCAAGGTAAGCAAAATGCACGAAACAAATCAGCGAAAGAGCGCGTTTTTGCACTCACACTCTTACAGGTCCAGAGTTCATTCAACTCTCCATCACTCGAGCTGCCGCGTTACATGAGCTGACACTAGATTGCTGGTGTCTAGCTGCTGGCGTAGACTGGTAGAGTATATCTTACTTTGTCAGCCTGTCGTATGGCAGCAATGGGAAAGGAACAGTTGTGTCTGTCACTTCGGTCCTTGAAGGAATCGTGGGCAGTGTGACCTGTGTGTCACCACAGTGTGTTTCAACAGAGCCTTCGAATGAGGCACACATGCCTCTCCAGACAGCTGTCATACGCTCCACTGGCACTGGATACGCTGAGACGATTCTTGTAATGCTGCTGCCAGGTCCACGAAGGAACAAAAAGGAACAACCAAAACGTCCCTCGCATGCGCGCATCGCATCGAAAACACCTTTCTTCATCAGCATGACGCTCATACTCGTAGATCTACTCCTCTGCCGTGCACGCGTGCCTGTCACGCTCTCCAGGATGTCAGTTGCCCCTGCTACAGTTCCGGTCTTCGGGTCGCTGCGCTTGGCATTTAGCAACACAGACAGTGAAAGGCCAGGTTTCCACTTCCCAAAAAAGTCGAACACATCGCGATTCAAAGCGCTAGTCGCGATCATTTTTTCTTTGGTGCCTCATTTGATCTTACCATCACAACCGCCCAAGCAAAAGTAAGTTAGATATCGTGATTGGACTGGGTTTTACCTGTCAAAAGGTGAGTGGGAGATAAGCGACAATTGCGATGAGCCGGACCAAGTATTACCCAAGACTCCAGGCGGCTATCCGTTGCGATAGTCGTTTGGAGTCACAGGTAGAGACAACCAGACGATGGATTCCTCGCGGACGCATTCACTGCAAACTTGACGGAAACAGCGCTGGCGGCGGTCACTGGGTCCAGAACTAAAATTTTCTAAGAACTACCACGTTACAATGGCGACCAGCACAGTCAAGGAACACTACAGGTATGTCAGCTACAACATAATTATATTCTTTCTACAGCGACACCTACCTCTTGGTCAATACCTGACGATCTACTGCAAGCTGATGCGAAAGTGAATTACACCCGTGAACGCCGCGCTTGTCAACGGAACAGGGAAGCGCTTCACTCTCCGAAGTTGAAAAGTATTTGGACTGCTGCTAATTGGGAGAACAAACGACCACCATGGCGGCAGAACATTCCGCAGCCGTTCACCGACACAATCCGCTTCACCAAACGACTTACGAACGTTTCGTTCTCCGAGTTTTCTGGTGGCAGCAACAAGAATTTCGTCCGCAACGACAGGACGAAAGTCTCTCGCAACTGAAGTCCTGTCGCCACAAAGATGGAGAAGATTCCGCAAGCCATCTCTTCTGCTTCCAGTGTTGTAGCTCTCCTGTCCATTGGCATATCTTTCAATCCCAGCGAACGAAAAAAGTATCTGCTTCTCTCTCCAAAACAACAACTATTATATATAAACTAACTATTACTTTACTTCGCGAGTGTCCGGGGCCGATCATGTACATAGTGTATGTAGCGCATGTGGCGCACGGCGCACTTTTGCATGACATGACACGCATTTTGCACAGCGGCTGGCGCTAGATCGCGCAACACGTTCGTACTTCGGATTTTGCGTTTTTTTTTCGACGGCAATGGCTTCCTTTATGAGTTGTCTACCTACGATGTATACTTTGGAAAGTGATATTCCGTACAGAAAGTATCAAAAAATCCAGGAAAAGTTGGCCTTTCGATTTTTTGAGCTGGAGGTAAAAGTGCCTGGCAGGGAGGGGGTGTACAGCTCAGCTGACAGCCTGGCAGGGAGCGCCTTGTCACCTTGAGTGGTCAGCTGGCAGTGAAAGGGTTAAGTTATAAAACTGATGAAATTGCCTAATTGTACCGTACTCGTGCGATTAGTGCCCCTGGGGCACTATTTTTTCTATGTTTATCTCAGATGGAGAACGATTCCCGAAAGGTCACTATTTTTTCAATGCTGGTAAAGTTTCGTCATCCAGCATAAAACAAGGCAAAACGGAGCTTTTAAACAGATTACTGGAAACTATCATGACTCAAGAGAAACGGCAACAAGAACTGAGATTTTGATCCTGACAGCACCAGTGCAATGACATGGACAAGAACATTAGCAAAACAACACACAACCTGCATATGCGCTTGATATCAAGCTCGGGGGGGGGGGGGGGGGGGGAGGCACTATTCAAGAGAGGTATTTATTCCCGTAGCTATGCAAAAGACGTTACTTCAGTAACGTCTGGCGCTAGCCAGGGTCCATATAGCTTTAATTCCGTGTTTGTTTGTGCCATCGGCATGCCTTGCGCTATCCCGTACCTGTTCCGTACCGTACCATCAAAGACAGCTGGCCACAATATTAAAATAGGCCTTTCAAATGCAAGATCATAACATGAAACAACTTGGAAGAATGAGTATGTATGCGAAGTATATCGGGGGAATGCATGCAGCGCAGGGCGATAGTGCGGGTTCGGATCCCAGGTTATATCTTGAAAAAAATAGGAGAAATGAAAAATCTACTTCCTCCGTATACAAAAACTTCGTGACTTTTTTTGAAAGCTGCGCATAGCTCTGGAATTGTTCCGTTTGACTTGGAATAACACTCGTGGCATTGCCTAACTTGTTTACAAGCTATATACAAAGAAAAAGCAACTCAGACGAATGAGATTGAGTTTTTTCATAGTCTTTGTCGCTCGTGTCATTGTCACCTGACGACGCTGACTCCGCATCGCCAACAGTCGCTGCTTCCGCTCGCATTTCGTTCAGATTCTTGTCAGCTGCAGTGATGATCCGACGCTGGACTTTGGCTACGTCCTCTTCATCTCCAGAGCTGTGTACGAATCGGTGACGACTATTCAGTCGATCCAACCCGCGACCTCCATTATCCCGTGAAACAAGTTGTACAAGCACATCCACACGCTTCGCATTTTCTCGCGAGGATAATTCTCCCAGCATTCTACAACGGCTTCGAGGAGGTCCCTGCGATTCCACTTGGCGACAAAGGAGACGTCTGACTGGAGAGAGGCGAAGAAAGCCAGGCCGTCGACATTGTGATCAGGAGTCTGCCCTGGTTGCACGACGACTGAAATGTTTCATCTTGCCGTGCGAGAGGAACCAATTTTATGTTCTCACGCTGCGTATGGGGCGGCGCACCGCAAGTACGAGCGCTCGAGCCTGGCCAGCTTCAGGGCAGCGAGAGCCGCGTGATTCCGTGTACCAGCCGCGAGCTCCACTTCGTCACTGTGTCAGTTTCGAGCAAGTAAGTGTTAGTTTTTTCTTCATATTTTGACTCTTGAGTTCCTGTCGGCAACGTCCTCACACGCATGGCTTTCGTGGAGAATCTGTTCGGGATAAACCAAACTTACCTCGACATGAATGTGGGTTGTCGATGACAGCCTTTAGCGCGGTTTGTTGAGCAGGTTCTTGCTCAAAAACACCATTCGAAAAAGTCACAAAGTTTTTGTATACGGAGGAAGTATAACATCCCTATACTTTTTTTGCCTAGGTCATGAAGGTGGTAGACGGTGCCTCGAATGCAAAGAGAAAGTTTGATGTAGCCAATCAATGAAAAAAAACATTTCCATCAGTTCTAATAACATGCATGATGAGCCAGGCAAAAAAGCATAGCGTAGGGCCATGAGCTTCCAAGCTCTCTCGTTTTTTCACTGGCTCTTAGCTACTGGGGTAATATTTGAGATAGAGCGCTATTTAAGAGACGGCTCTAATCGCGCGAGTACGGTAGTTTGTGGTACTAGTTTTTTCCCCACTGAGGGTATTGACACATTGCAGAATCGGATGCTAACCCTTAGGTGTCGGATACTGGAAACCTGTGGAAAGCTCCTATTGTTCCTTCGTAGGCGCACGATGAAGTTCCCGAACCGTCTCTTACCTCGTGCACATTTGTATATCAATACTTGTACCAGGGGTATGTATGTATTATGTGTATGTGCATACATGTGACGTTATGTATGTGTGTCTATGTGTATGCGTGCGTGCGTATGTGTGTGTGCACATGCACATGCGTGTTACGTGTTTGTCTATATGTATATGGGCAACTTGCAGGTCTGGCACATTCTCGTTTTGGAGCGTTACTCAAGTCTTCTTCATCGTCGTCATGAAGTCAAGATCAGTACTTGTACATTACCATCTCCACAAGCCGTCTAACACACCCACTGTGATCAACCACCTCCTCTAATTTCTAGTGATGAAGAAGCTAGACATTCGACCACTAATGACCCATGCTGCCACTGCCGCTGCTGCTGCCACCGCCGCGGCTGCTGCGGCAGTGGCTGCCGCTCTTGCTCTTGTCACTGCTGCCACCGCCGCTTCTGCTGCCGCTGCTGCTGCTGCGGTAGTGGCTGCCGCTCTTGTTCTTGTCACTGCTGCCACCGCCGCTTCTGCTGCCGCCGCGGCTGCTGCGGCAGTGGCTGCCGCTCTTGTTGTTGTCACTGCTGCCATATTGCATGCACTGCTTTTACGTTTTTTCCAGAAAAGTTGAATTGGTGATTTCAGGCTGATGTGGCTGATGTAGCGATCCGGGGTAGAGTTCTACCGGTTTGTTGTCATGGCAATGTAGAAAATACCATGTGTGCATGTTGTCATGACAATACGGTTTTCCTGTTTCAATCCTACCGTTTGTCTTCCCTTTGTGAACTGATCATTATACAATTAAAATTGAATGTTTGGTGTGGATGTGTACCTGCATTCCCGCTGCATTGTTACCATGCCAACTGTCACCTACACTAGTGTGGCGGTGACTGGCGTGATGTACACGCATCTCATGATCTGTGCGTGCTGCATGTGGCCTGTATCTAGAGTGGTGGCATATACCGGTGCCAAGTTAGTTTGCTGCAATAAAATAATACACTTTCTGCATGATTTGCTATTTGAGAAGGGTGTCCCAGCTATTTCCCAGCCACCCTTCTCCACAGTACTTAGTAGAGAGGTTCTGCTATACGTGAAACATAGAGAACTAGCGTAGAGAGCAGGTGAAGTCTGGGTTAGATTCTGCGACTTCGCGTACGGTTTGGGTCCAGATTTCTACGCGTAGACGAGGTTCGGTACGCTTTCCAACGGCCGAAGAGAGTTGGAAAGCTTGTGTCTTTGTGGATAACTCGAAACAATTTGCGCTAAGACGCTGCAAAATCGCTCCGATTTTGGATTTCATTCCACAGAATGTGGTACCGACAAGATGCGGTCCTTGACCGCATTTCCGTCACTTCGCAGTGGCCTTTCTTCCGTTTAGTTTGTTCCCGCCCTCCCACCCCGGACTGAAGGGTGTTTATAGACATTGTGTTGATGTGTGTGGTTTTGCCTAGGGCAGTTACGACTGCGGTGTTTTTCTTTGTTGGTCTTTTAGAAAAACTTTAGGGGTGGTGTGCGCGTCGTGGGCTGTTGTATGGTTACATTCAGCTTCAGAGGGTTATTGACAGGGGATGAATTGGCATGGGGCAGAATGCAAGATTGAATTGCAAGATTGAATTGAAGGGTTGGGATTTTCAGGGGTCATCAAGGCATTGTGTTAACTGAAGCTGGATGATGACCTGTGTGGTGTGCCGGTGTGAAGATGATGTGCAAGGGTGTGTTCTCTTGCGTTTCTGAGGTGTGCGTTTTTACATTTCCCTATTGTTATGCCGTTGTTGGCGTGTTGTATGCTGTGTAATCATCAGCATTTTTGATTGACTGCTGTATCGATCGTTGATATATTTTTGTAAATGTACAAATAATTATAGAAAAAAAAGAAAAAAAAGTCTAAATAAAGGCCATTGCCGAGCCACCGTGCTCTCAGCAGAGACTTCTGTGTGTTGGTGTTGTGAGAGTGTACCACAAAGACTCTACGTTGTGGTACACGCAAAGAAGATGCGTACGAATCTGCTGGCTAAAATACATGTACAGAGTAGAGGCAGAAAACTACCAAATATGGAAGGGGAAATTCTCAGTAGACATTCCACGTGATTTCTCTACGTGAACGTCGAGCAGAACCGTTGAAGTTTCTTTACGTTACGGGAATGAGAAAAGAGTTCCCGGGATTCTTTGTCAGTTTGTTTCGTGTTCCATCACAGAGAGGTTCCGGAGTACGATTTTACGTGCAAAGATACGTAGATCTAGAGGCGCTACAGATATTTTTATACATCGGTTTTGAGTTGTGAAATGTTCCCGACGAGTAGTCGCCACAGGATAGCTGGTGGACTGGACTGGAGCGATACAATAAGAGATTTCATGGATGGCTCCTTCTGCACTTTGACATGAGTCGAGTGGAATTCCGCTCCATCACGACCGTGGAAAATTCTCGCGAAGTCCTTGACACCTGGAATCTCTGCTCGCTTGGTGAGCAGGGCCCTACCGTACTATACTCCGTAGATCTACGGTTTGGAAAAATAGAAATCTCGCACCTTCTACGTAGCAAAAAAAGTACCATCGCCTGGAATGCAAGATTACTGTATCCATGGTATCGAGATGCTGAGAACCTCTTATCTGCCATACTGCCTTACTGGCTAGAGTAGTAGAGAATGTTCGCCAGAACAGCCATCGATTGACTCGTCTCGGTTCTTTTTTTCTTTTCTTGCGGTGACGCGAAGCATACCGTAGATCTAGAAATAACTTGGTATGGTGTGGCCTAAACATGATAAAAAAATCATAAAGGATGATTATGTGTAGATCTACGCACGAGGTTCCGGTATCAAACATGTCAGTTCTCAGCAGGTAGGCGCTAGGCCCTAGCCTGGCGGCCGAGCGCGAGCCTGGTTCTCAGTGTAGACTACATTTCACTGCTGAGCGGTGTGACCCGGTGTGAGGTGAGAGTGAGATGGGACCACTGAGCTCATGAGCTGTTTACACTTACGTGGCTTAGTCACTTCACTGACTGTTACAGCGCGAACCTTTCCTTGAAAGGACTATGACTAGTGAGTAGTGTAGTAGTTGAAACTGGCGGGCACGGTTTACCGTTTTCAATATTAATTTTTTCTAAAGTGTTCTCCCTGGCAAACGTTGCACCGTTCTCTTTAGTTTGGAGCAGTTGAACTGGTTACTTGCCGAGCTGTACCTACTCAGTGTGTAATAATATCATGCTGTTTCTCGGGCGGCATTCAGTCAGTACTACTGTACTACTGTAGTACTGGCCTTGTTGCATTTAGTCACTAGTGTCGTTGCCAAGAATAGGCTAGTATTGAGTAACCTTTTGCCTAGTGTTGGAGTAGCAGACAATACATCCGAACAAGGTCAAGTTCCCTGGTGATGTGTCATGCGCTTTCCATCGGCGTGCAACAATGAGCGTCCAGAAGACCAGATGCTATTCGTGTATTGACGACAAACGGAAGACCTGGTGGGCAGGGTACGTAGAAAACGTTTGGTTTGTTCTCTGTTCTTGAGCATTTCGACATTGTAGAGATTTGATGTGTTTTCGAACGTTCGTGGTCTCACTACGTATATGTTGGACTCAGTAGAGCGTCCAGCCCCTATATGATGTCCAACCCCTATATAGAGTCCATTGGTCCAAAATCCACTGTACAGAGTCCAACCTTGGAATCAACTGTGAGCTCAAAGTTTAGATGGACATCACTCCCTGTATAGAGTCCAGCCAATTGGCTTCACCCCTATATAGAGTCCATTGGTCCAAAATCAACTGTATGGACGTCAGGCGAAATTACTGGTCAGTCGGCGTCACGCATTTTTCACAAAAATTTGCGTTTCACCTGCTGGGAGAGTATGCGTGTACTCGAGTCTCATCCTGAACACGTTTTTTTCTTCTTTTTTTCAGCTCCAGTATAACTGTATTTTTCATTGCAAAGCCGTCCTCGATTGTTGTGTTCGTTGTTCAAACGAAGTGGACATTCAATCATGAAGGCAGAGGACATAGGAGCCTGATTGGAGTTTCTCGTGGCATAGGACGGCCACACAGAGACACTTTGGGATTTTCTGAATATAAAATACCGTACGCACGATGCTGAGATCAATTTGTGCGATATCATAATTGTTTGTGATCTACCACATCGAGCAGAACGGGATCCAAACACAAGATTACCGACGGTTAGGCTGCCGACCTGACTGGACAAATGATCCCTGGCTTCACCTGACGCCAGACGTCGGAGACCATGTCCTTTGCCGCGACGTCCATCTCCAAAAAGAACTCCATCTTCGTCGTGAAAAGGCTTGAAATACTCAATATTCAACCGAGATTCGCGGTCTCACCCTTTCTCAGATCGAATCATTTTTTGTTGTAGCAGTTGCAGGGCAGATCCCCGCCACTACTTCAACAGAAGATGGCTCCAAAGCATACCTGGAACAAGCCATATTGAGGTTGCAAGCCACCCCTCTCAGCACTTTTTTTGAAGAAATTCGAAATTTCAATGGTGAAATTTCAATGGTGGAAGATATACTATGATATATTTCGCGGAGCGATCGCTCAACCTACGTCATTCAAACTTTGCAGGATGGTTCAGACGTACATGCTAGGCATGGAACCACAGAAGATGATATCATAGCTGACACACAGAGTCACACACACAGCAGATTCGTGTGCAAAGATACTAAATTAGTGGACGTCGTCATCTTCTTCCCACTGATCTCAAATGTACGATGACGTGCTATTTCGCCTGACGGTCCAAACTTTGAAATCAACTACCGTACTGGCAATATATGTTGCCGCGTAACGCGTAACGCAGGGGGGTGCGGCGTAACGCGCGACCAGGCTAGTGCGACAAATTTTCGTTGAGTTCGTAACGCGCGGCCGGCGGGGTGCGGCGATCTTTTCATTGCAGTTTGCACTGCAAAAAAAAGGCTGAAAACTGTGAAAGCTAAAGCACGTGTACCGCGTGGTGAAAAGTAGTTTTTGGAGGAAGCGCTCTTCCCCTATGTCAGTGACATAGGGGAAGAGCGCTTCCTCCAAAAACTACTTTTCACCACGCGTCACTTTGTCACATTGTCACTTTCCTTTTGATGATCTTTTTGTGAACAGATCACTCTGATAGTTAAAATATACAGTCTTCTATTGATATCGTTGTCGCCCTTTGCCGTCGGGTTTCCGTCGGGTTTGTAACAGTTGGATAGCAACTGAATTTCTGTGCCTTCAATGTGGATGAAAAGAAAAAATGATGCGGCAAAAGCCAAAAAAAATGATGCAGCAATAGCAAAAAAAGTGATGCGGCAATAGCAAAAAAAGGACTGCGGCAATATAGAAACCTGTGTAACGGCTCCTGTGCGACTTTGCATGTAACGCCCTGCGTGCGGCAAACATGTGCCAATGTAACGCTTCATGGCCTCACTGCGGCAACATATATTGCCAGTACGGTATAAGGAGTCTTTATGTGGACAACACTCCCTGTATAAAGTCCAGCCAATTAGGCATCCCCTATCCAGAGTTCGAAATTAGACACAGGATCTGCTGTAAGCAGTGAATATTAACCAGAAAACGGCCTCTCCCTTTAATCCTTTACATCATTCACTTCTCAAGATAAAAAATAAGTATTGAGGCACCACTGCAGCCACTTCATTACATGAAAAACCCTACAAACACCATCCTGAAATCAAGTGGTCTCTTCGCAGACGCTGCAAATTACAATATCTCAATCATGGAGTGTTGCCAAATTATTGTGCACGCACACACACACATGCACACACCCACACAACGCCAAGCAAATACCTAGAAAAAAGCCAAGAATCGAAAGAGAATAATGGAGATCCA